AACACATTTAGTTAGAAGACAATATAAAAAATAACATATTGTTGACAGTCTATTTTGTCATGTAATTTAGTTAGCTTAAGACTCCTTACTTTTGTAATATAGTATATTTCATAATAAAAGCTAATGAGCTAGCTTCTTAAACACTCACCAAACTGTGGAAAAACATCCAGTGTGGCGCTTGAGGACATCTGGGTAGAAAAACATTTTTTTTTTAGATCAGGCACAGTATTTGAAGGAAAGAGTTAAAAGGGTGTAGGAATTGTAAAATATAACAAAGATTTCTAACTTTCACCGCGATTTTTTTCCCGCTTCAGATCGCACTAGACCAATCAGGTTGAAGATCCATCACATTCAAAAAGAAACACCCCCGATCTATGCTCCCGATGCGTTCAATGACCTCACGAAAGTCGTACACTTGACTGTTAGGTGAATAGGTGTTAAATTGCATCATTCCATTATTCACAATTTTCACAACTTATCTGTTTTCTCTGATCGGTATGAAAAGAGTCACCTGGTTCAATGCTGCTGTCCCATATTCCAGGAATTAGCCTTTCCTTGTAAACTGATGCGGGCACAGTTTTTATTTTTATTTAAATATCTTGTTTTTATTAATATATTCCTTATCATGTTTGTATATATACAGTCTATGGTTTGTATGTATTTTATTTTTGCTTTAGTCTTTATTACTAGGCCATTATTTTATTCAGTTTTTGTATTATGCTTGTTAAATTATGAAAATAAATAAAGTAAACGCATTAATATTTACAACACAATTTTCTCATATGTCTGTAAATGTCTCATTCACACAGTGACATTGACACATAGCATTGACATTTAACTTGGGTGATGTTCCATGCATTTGAATTTATTTGGGCAAGTAGAAATATAAGTTATGTGTAATTTTTGTTTTTGTAAATATTACAGTTTCTATTTTTACCCAGTTAAAAGCAGAGGAAAGCGTGACGTCACCCTCCTTATGGGTAGTGGTGAGTGATTGGCCACTCCTCTGGCAGTAACGTGAACGTCGGGTGGTGGAGCCTGATTGAAGCGGCTCACAGAAGAAACTACAGCAGAAGGAAACACACTCTGTTGGCGTTAGTTGCTCAATTTCAGCAGAGCATTCCCTTTAAAATGGCGTACAACAGTCCGTACCGAGCTGCGCCGCAAGTCAACGTGCCTCCGGACCAGACTTTTCTGTGGAATATCTTCCAGAGGTGAGTGGGGGAAAGCGGGTTTGTCCGACCGCCTCTCACTCAGACCCGCAGTGAGAACCGCTGTCGTGTGGCGCGGAGAGGAAGAGAGGTGCGCTGGAGGGAAATCTTTAATTCACAGCTCGTTGTTTTTTACTCCAATGTCCTTCTAACTATTTTTGCACCGCAGTCAAATTCGTGTTTTGTCAGGCTACCCTTCAGTTCCTGGTCATAACATGCACAGTGTAGCTACAACACATAGCTCATATAGCTATCACCCCGCTTGTGTGTCAGTGTCACAGAGCTTTATTATCGACTTTTAAGGAAGTGCCAGGCAATCAGTGAGCTGTCTCCTATAGCAAGGAGAGTTGGCAAACTGGGGTCCAAAGACCTCCAGGAGTCCTTGAAATCCTTTCTTCTGGGTTCTTCCAGCTAAATTCAATTTGAGTATATCCATTTATACATACAGATGTGAGAGAATATTTCATGAATGGGTCTTTGAACTGCATGTGTCTGCACCATATCTGCAGCAGTAAAATCAAATCCTCTCAAGATGGGGTTTCCTCAAATATTCTGACAGTTGTGTGTCTTTATGACGCCACTTTCTATGGGAGGCTGCCATAAAGAGAGTGGAAAGCTCTCTCACACAATACATAACCATACTATGTATTATTCTTCCTTGAGCTGATGTAACAGTATCAGTGGCACTGAAATTCATCAATTTCACTACAGCCTGAGTCAAAAGTGTGTCAGCAGCTGAGAAGGTCGCAGTAGTAGGCAGAGAGGGAAATACTTGATATGGTATGACCCCTGGTAATAGTAAGCTATAGAGTTATGTAATACTGCAGAGAATTTTGTTCTGCTGCTTTGCTTCTCACAACATTGAGATTGCATGCATTGCAAGGTTTGTAGCAGCCTTAACGAATTATTAATGTATGGCTCAAAACCTCTTGAGAAATCAGGATGCATCTACACATTTTGTCTCATATCTTTTAACAGTCTCTTACATTCCTAATCTTGAATTCACAGGCACGCAAACAGCACCTAACATGACATCGCTTTACGTCATATATGTATAAGATAATGTGAACAAACACAAGTCACCTCTCACATGACAGGCATTGTGCAGCCTCATCTGCTGCATCCTGGAAAATATCCATCAGAACGGTGCTGGAATTCCCTCAGTCATGTGACCAGAGTCAATAGAGCATAGTTGAAGTGGGAGGACTCTCATCTCTGTGTCACACACACACAGAAACACACACACATTTAGCAATGTATGACTCACCGTCCAACTGTTGCACTGTCTTCAGGTATCCATTTAGTTGAAGCCTTACTTTTTGAACTCCCTTTATTCTTTCTAATCATAATGACAGTGGGACAAACATGAGTCATTCAATCTCTGTGGGTTTCAATGTAGACTGTAGTCGTGCTGTCATCTAAATGTTGTCTATTTTTAAATGTATTAAACTCCATGACTTGTCACTTTATGAATCATGAGGTAGTCATTCACTCCTTTTTTACTTGCGTTTGAATGAGTGACGTTGGTATGCTATACCCAACGCTTCAAGAGTCAAAAACAACTTCAGTTGGATTTAGATCACAACACAGATTTGTTTGCTGTCTTTATATATACAGTCTATGGTTGCTATGCAGGTACAACACATTGTCTAATACTGCTTGATGAATACTGATCATTTTAAAATGACAGCATATTCAAACTTGTTAGTAACAGATTACAACATGTAGGAAGAACATGTGGTTTCTCTAGAATGAATTGAAAGTACAGTAAAGTTGATGTGATCACTGTCTCACCTGAAAACAGACTCATTATTTAATCCACAACTTAAACCATGGATCAAAAAGGTTATTACAAAAAGTAGCAATGGAAACTGACTGTTGTACAGCAGGATTTCCCTGGAAGGGTTTGTAAATGCGGCTTTAATTTTCTCCGCTGTGTGAGCCAGAATGACATCGTTTAAAATGTGGAAAGTAAGGCGAGCTTTGTTCGCTAGCCTTATTCCAACCTGGTTGCTCAATAGGAAACAGTGAAACATGGGAAAATCTGAGCAGAACAAACTGAGCCATGGTGTTTTATGTCCTCCTGCTGTTTCACCTACAAGTTCTGTGTCTGACAGCGTGAAGATGGACACACCAGATGTCTGTGCTTCCCGGCACGAGGGAGATTGAATGATGTTTCACTTTTTAGGGTCTCTTACGTTAAGTCTGGCGAGGTTACTTCACCTCAGGCTGGATGAGATGGGAGGAGAGAAAGAGGGAGAAAAGGGGAGAGCTTATTCTACATCGTACACATACTTCTTTGAGTTAATCAATCAGTGTTTGGTAAAGGCAGGGTACCCCCACTGCCTTCACCAACCCAACCACTCCTCACCTTCAGCGTGACAAAGCTCTCATTTATGGAGGCATGTTTGGAGCTGTTTTTCTCCCCGAGGAGAGCAGTCGGGTCACCTTGTGTTTGTTTTTCTTTATTTAAGTATGGAAAGTAAAGCGAGGAGTACACATAGGCTTATAGCTGATCACTGTAGAGACATGGAGGTATATAACTGCACGTAAAGAATCAGAGCTGGCAGCGGAAACCCAGCCCACAAAGTCAGCACTGGGCCGGGTCTGAGGTTTTATTTTGTACGGGGTTCCCCATCCCCCTCTGCCTTCTTCTTCTCTGCTGGTATTTGGTGTGTGAGTGTTTTCTAAGTCAGGTTGGGCCAGGCAGCTTGCTGAGGACCAACTGAGTCACTGGAAGTTTGACTGAGCTACGTTTCATAACTTCCTGGCCTGTTACAGCCTGTGACACAAGATTTCCATCGGCATAACTACACTGTAGCTATGTTCGTCTGACTAAATAAAGAACCTTGAACCTTGTTATTTATGACACAGTCTAGTCACAGTTGTTACTCTGTTCTATGAGTTTTGTAAATGTATCTTAATAGCTAACTTTCGTGTACTAAGGGACATGGTTTAACACTTAAAGACACACATATTTCAAAAGTAATGTAGCTATTTTTTAAACTAGATACTCCTACAGTTTTCTTATATCTTTGTCATAAATGTTTTAACTGAAGGGTTTCCCTCATGCTTGCTCATTCCAAACTATCCTTTATTTCTTCATGACTTAAAACTGCTGGATGTTCAGAAAACTTTTTTAAGCTCTATTCTGACTGATCAAATACAAGCAGATAAACTCAACTCCTGGAGGTTATTACACAACATTGCATCATCTCACTAATCTACACGTTTATTTGCTTTCATTCAACACATGGATAAGAGGTGTTTAATGATCCTTTTGAGACAATGGAGTCTAAAAATAGAAATAGCCAGCCTCTCAGATTTGTCTACACCTTCAGATGCCTACTCATATGTTCCTCTGACCTTCCTTTAGACACTTAAGTGTGGCTTTGCCGTCATTTGTTGGATTTTCTTCAGCCCCTCCCTGGAATATATGTAGCTGTACACTTAAGCCCCTTTTCAGTTCTTCCTTTAAATACTGACACAGAATTCAAAATGATCTCTGTGATAATAAATGAGTCATTGAATTAATTTATCTTGCAGAAATGCCAAACATGTTCTGGTTCTAGCCTCTATAATGTATTTCCCCTTGAGTGTTATCGGTAACTGTAAACTGAATGACTTTGATTTTAAGTCCGACTTCCCCTTTTCTAATGAATCTTTTTATACATTATTTGAAAAGAAACATACATTAAGGAATACTCAATAATGAAGATACTCTTTAGGTGTAGCCCTATTATTGAATAAACTGACACTTATTGGTTTTCATTACTGGTTGGTCTATAAAATGTCAGACTGAAATAAGTCATATAATAAATCATAATGTCCCAAAGCCCAAATTAAAGGGTTTAAATGTCAACAAAGACCCATGCCCAGAATCGAACTGGGGACATTGTCGGCTAAGTGTTTAAGACTATGTTAACTCGTACGCTCTTTTTATATAATGTTTCAGCTCGCCCATCTGAACCATCAAACTGTTTTACTTTTGGTTTCCTTCTTTTAAAAATATGTAAGATATCATTCAGTTTCACTTTTTGCTATCTCATGATCCACACACACACACACACACACACACACACACACACACACACACACACACACACACACACACACACACACACACACACACACACACACACACACACACACACACACACACACACACACACACACACACACACACACACACACACACCCAGAGAGAGAGAGGTCCCAGGGGAGCCACGAGTGTACAAGCTGCCTTGTGTGTCCCGATCAGTGAGCTCCATTCATTCTCAGTGGGCTGTTGACAGGCAAGCACACACTCAGGAGGATAACATTTCCGCCGGCGAGTGTTTATGCTCGCTGCTATTGTGTGTGGGTGTGTGAAGTAGTTAATACACCGGTATCTAATCTTTGCTTTCTTCCCCAGGGTGGACAAGGACCGGAGTGGAACGATATCAGACTCAGAGCTTCAGCAGGCCTTATCGAATGGTATGCATCAGTGCCACTCCCTTTTTTTGTTTCCTTCTCCTTATTTCTGCTCCGTCTCCCACTCTCTTTCCACTTTCTTCTGTCTTCTTTATTCCTCCATCCCTCTCATCTCCTCGCGACACACCATTGCTCTCTGTCACTCTTTGATTTAAGCAGCTGCCACGCCTAAGGAGAGAAATGGATTGTGATTTTATTTGTATCCCAGGTTTGTCTGGTGAACTCTGTTAAAATGAATGAGAGTTTTATTTTTGTCTCAGGATAGCAGAGACGCAGGTGGAAAGTTTATCAGTGTGCAGCTTCTAAGAAAATACATCACTGTGGCTCAGTGTCCCTGAGAAGACAGCCGACTCAACGCTGTGATGTCACTGTCAGAATAAATGACACTGCTTGTGGAAGAAAGTACCAATAAGTCAATATGGCAAGCACTGAGGATTTTTCCGATTACCGCCATCAACACAAATCCCACATCTACATTAAAGTGGCCGATTCTCTTTTTAAAATGTAGAAAAAGGCATTCTCCTTATTGCTTTACACAGATCTGATGTAACCTTTCCACATTCTTACATGAAACACCCATATGACATATTTCCATTATGTTTTCTACATTGTTTTACCATTTGAGGTGCATCTTGTTGCGCCCTCTTCTGCGATTGAATAATAGTTATCCGACTGATGAATGGGCGTCAATATCCACTCATTTCGATTCAAATGTTCGCATAATGGTACTGGAAACACCAAGCTCTCATTTGCGTGGTGATCTTCCCGAAATCCTGCATTTGAAACTGTGTATGTACTGTGGGAGAACCGAAAGCTTGATTGGTACGAGATGGTGATCTGTCAATTAAAAATAGAAAAATCTTGTGAATCAGCGAGAAGTGTTTTCTGTGCTGCGGACTGGGAGTTGATCCGAGGAAATAATCAGCATGAAGAGGGAGTAGGGAGGGATCGAACATGAGAATTACAGCCGCCTGTGATGGAAGTTCAATCTCTGTTCCTGTGTGTGTAGCTCAGGAGGAGGAGGAGGATGATTCAAACAGGATTAAGGGTTCAGTTCCCACCAGGGCCCTCTGAATAGCAGAAAGAGGGATACTTGTGATTCAGCAAGGCTGTTTGGGGAGAAGTGTTGAATTAATGATACCCGTCATCTTCTCTACTCAAATCCTGCCGGTGTTACACTTTCACAGAGTGAAAAAAGTAACAGGCTGATAAAATATCTGTTTTCATCCTGCCCACACACAACACTGTATCAGCATCGCCCCCGTCTTGACCTTCCTCGCATCGAAACAGATGGGTTGAAATATGATAATTGAACATTTCGGAGCTTTGTAGAAATTAAAGCACAGGTGTAGTTTTTCCTCTTGTAATATAATTCCATTTGAGTTTATGGCTGATGGCTTTTCAAAGGCTTCTGAGCAGATTACTCTCCTCAGAAGGTCCTTTTTTCTGGGCACTACAGAGTAAAAAAAAAAGCGAAGTGTTGAAGCCAGCAGCAGCAGTGAGAGAAGCTGTTATCAGGCTGCGCAGTGGCTCTGGTTCAGCATACTGATTCGTGTGTGAGTGTGTGTTTGTGTATGCATGCATGAGCAAGTGTGATTATCTCCAGTATGTGTGAGTGTTGTACCATTTTGTCTGCATTTACAGCCAAGGGTCAGTACTAAACAGGCTTTGCGTTGTTACAGGCTTAACGTGCTTGTTTCAGTGTTGTGTACGTGGGAGAGAACGGCAGGTTTCCCGGTCCAGATTGCGCCGGTTCATTATTCTCACTGTGACATGAAACTGAGCCACTGAAGCTGAACACACACATCACTGCATCCTGTCCCCGCTGAAGCCACCAACCCTGTCACTGTCCGCACGTCTGTCAGGGCTCCACTGACCCTGCAAATACTGCTTTCATTTACCTCACACAGTAGAGTGGTGCAGTGGTGACGTATTTTTTTTTAGGTGGACCCTGAAGCTAGCATCACAAGGGCTCCCTCAAAAAAAAGAATGTATGATACTTACACATTTTGTCCAGCAGGATAATCTCCACATATTAACAGCACTTTATGATTTTTGAGGCGTAAATGCAATCACCAGATGTAAAAACGCTAACGCTAGGCTATAAACAAACTACATCAATATAGCATGCTTCCCCACTGCTAAGCTAAAACGGCTAATGTTTTTGCGTGCTAGTTGTCTCATTTAGTCACTTGTTAGCAACGGATCTTTTACGACACATAGACGCGTTGGACATTCATGAGTGGGGTATTAACTGATGCATTTATGCTGCAGATCAAAACCTGAAAATCTTGAAAGCTTGTGTTAACTGCAGATTTTATTTTAGGCATCTAACGACAAATACGTAAAAAATAACTTGAGTGAACCGGAAGTGTTAAAATACTAACTTGTTTCCAGGTTTTAGGACTAATGTCTGCCCCGCTCTCTGAAACAAGCTTTGTTTCCCATCCTGCTGTTGTCCCCCTTGACCTCTGTCTATATCATTCATCTCTTCTATTCTCCTCCCCCTCTTTCCCCCCTCCTCCCTCAGGAGAGCACAGTGTGAGGGAGGCAGGGTTGTTGGGGATGTGCTGTTGCAGTTTACACTCCTCCATCCTCTCCGCTTTCTGCACCACACACTCTCTTATTCTTATCTCATCTCTTCAGTCCTTGAATTTTTACACATCTGAAATCTGTCAGTTCCCCCTTTCATGTTTCTGTCCTACAGTTCCTCTGTTCAGGGTTATTTTCAATCGTTTTTGACTGGTCTTTTTTTAAGTGTTTTGATGCTTTTGAGGCTCTCTGTTCTCTGTCAACATGAGTCCACTATTTCTAGTAATAACAGATTAGAGTATAAGCATGGCGTTGCCCGTGGTGGATACAAATGTTACTTGTGTTAATCACAAACCAACAAAATGACATGACTACTCTACATGAGACGTAGATGCAGCATTTGTCCTCTCTGTCTCACGTACTCATTTCCTGCTGTGTCCCCTGTCTGTTTGTCCTCCCTTTTTCCTACTTTCTCTCCCTTTTCCTTGCTTATGCTACCTTAGTTAGCATAAGCTCTCTTATTTCCCCTCCCTCCTCTCCTCCCTCACTCCATCCCTCCATCAGTCCTTTTGGGTGTGACAATATAACCCCTGTTGAGACACTAATATGGCCGTCTTGTATCTGTGCCATTTTATATAAATATAGAGTTTTTTGGCCTCCCTCCGCTCAGCAGTGAGTAGACATCATACCGACTTTCCGTCATGCTCTCCCACTCTCCTGCGCACACAGATTTATACTTCTCCTTCAGTTATTTATTCAGTGTGTAGGAGCGGTAATAGCCACTAAAATTGCTTATACGATTGAGAGAGCACAGGCTTGCAGGGCAGAATGCAGAGTTGGCTGAATAGCAAGACTCATTCAACTACTCTTCCCTTTACACATCTACATTTGTAGCATTTTGTAGAGCTTGGTTACACTGCAGTTGAGGTAAATGGCAGTGGGCATTTGTTTTTGATAGCCGCTAGGGCTGCATAATTCATGGGAATATGATACAAATTGCAATATCCAAATTGCAGTAAGAGCAATATTTGGTATAGGCAAAATATGTAAAAAATATCTGGATGAGGTATTGGGAAAACTGCACAGAAGGGGATGCTGTGGCTCAGTGGGATAGTGCGCTGAACTTTGAATCGGGGGATAGCAAGTTCGAGTCCCACTGCAGTCAGCATGTCGTTGTGTCCCTGGGCAAGACACTTCACCCCAAATTGCTCCTGTGGGGATTGCCCACAGTACTGAATGTATGTAAGTCGCTTTGGATAAAAGCGTCTAACAAGTGACATTTAATGTAATGTAAAAGTCCCAGCTTAGATGAGGTGTGTTTTACAGACAAAAAAATCCTTGTTTTATACAGATCGTCCTAAACTCACCCTCATCCTTTTAATATCCTCTCCAATGTTAATGTGAATAATGTTTCAAAAATGGAAATTGTCTCTAATGTATTAAATCATATCGTCATTGCAATATCAGTATAAGTTATATTTTTCCAAATCGTGCAGCCCTTATAGCCTGTGTTGAGCTATTTCAATATTCCCGTTCCAATTCTCAGACCTGCTTATGTCTGATACAGGTGAATAGAGGATGAGAGGCTTTGTGGATTCACTAACTGTGGTTTACACTTTAATTGTTTGCCTACAGTCTGAGGCACTGTTTATTAGTGACTAGATTCATGATCCCATCCTGCTGGTCTGTCTCACACATGACATGACCATTGTCTGCTGGCATCAACCACAAACACAAACTGAGAATGACTATAGCGGACTGATCCAATTGGCTAGTTACTATTCCTAAGAGGTATGACACATGGGTGAACAGGTGATTCCAAACTTCTGGACATCATTTTTCCTCCCTCTTTGTCCAAATATAAATGTCAGCACCAGAAAGACAAGGTGATGATGAATTGGTAAAGATGATGCACGTCCCTTGATTCATACTACCTTAAAGTTCATTATTGTAAAGTATAATTATTTTTCTTTTACATCTGAAAGTCAAACCGTTACCTTGGGAAAAGTCTGAGAATCTACTTAAGATGTGTAGCTGAGAATGTGTTTGTGTTTAAAGTTAAGTGTGTGTGTACAAGTGTGTCACTGAGCTCCAGCACAGCCGTTATATGTGTTAGTATACGCTGCGGTCTGTCCACCCTGTTTTTCCAGCAGCCTCCCTCTCTCCTCACCTCCTATATTCCCTCTCTCCCCTCCTCCCTCTCACTTCTCTCTCTCAACCTCACCCACAGTGAGAGAGCGCAGTGTGTGAATGGGACAGAGTGGGTATTGTGCCAGTTTGCAAATGCAGACGCACACACACACATCTCAACCAGTATGACCACCTCACACTGGGCAGCCGCAGTCTGTCTGGCATACATTGGTGACCTCACAGCTTGCTGTGTGTGTCAGTCAGTCAGTCAGTCAGTCAGTCAGAGAAGGTCACAGCTTGTTCTCTGCCTTTGGTCATTTTGCTGATGGTGCTAATGCTAGAGCAACATTTATTCAGACATGACAAGCAGATTTGTGATGTCTCTGTATCTTTTTCTGTTTAATGTGGGTATTGTTGCAGATCTAATTTGAATTTGTAAATGTTTGGCCATGGTCAGACGCCAGTAAAGTAGAAATAGACTCATTAATCAGCCAGACTTTGATGGATATTATTACATTACATTACATGTTACTTGTTAGACGCTTTTGTCCAAAGCGACTTACATACTCAATACTGTGGGCAATCCCCACAGGAGCAATTTGGGGTGAAGTGTCTTGCCCAGGGACACAACGACATGCTGACTGCCTTATTATCTTATAACTGTCTTTATTAAAGTACATATGCTAATAAGTAACAAGCATTTGCAGTAGAAAAACATGCTCATGTTTACCTTGTATTACATTGTATAACACTGGCTAATTAGCATTAAACAAAAAGCAAAACTAGGTCCGGTGGGCATATCATCGTTTTGCAGTTATTCGGTCATTAACCAAGTACCAGACAAATTAATAAAAACACCTGAATGCAGCACTAGTGTCTGGCAAAGTTTATGCCATTAAATCTGTGTTTTTAGTCCCAACTAATAATGCATCCCGGTGTGGTCGGATTTAAGTTAGAAGACATTTCAAATTCATGAAACTCATTCCATAGTTACGGTATAGTTTCTAAAAAACTTTTTCATTTTGTCAGAAAATGGTAAAAATAAAAGAAACTTGTGGGAGACATGAGGTTTTCATCAGACTGCACTTCTAATACTGCATTTTTGTTGCTTTAGATCCCCACTCCAATAGAGAGGATAGGAATATAGATTTTGGCCCAAGCCCCAGCGTCAGTGTGAGCCTTGGAGCCCGGTCCCAGACAGCCTCGCTCATCAATAAAACAAAACCCAGGAAGAGGAAGGAAATGTTGAGTGCCTTCTTTGAACATTCAAATACAAAATCTGGAGTATATATTTAGCATCACAAAATCCTGAGGTGTTCCTGCCTCTTTTTATAATTTATTTGGGCACTTTTACAGACTTTTTGAGGGGATTTAAAAAAGCCAATCATATCGCAAAGTATGGCAATATATTGATTCATAACAATTTGATATCCTATGCCCAGATTCTGGCCCTAAAAGCCACACAGTGTGAATAAGAATCTAAAAGTCTGCAGTTTTTGGGGGGGTTTGCAGATAGAGTTGCAGTGATGAATCTTAGGTCAGCAGAAGTAGACTGAAGTGTTCAGGTTACTGCAACAGAAACTAAACTGCAAAGCTTGTGTGCTCCTTCCCGTCTCCTGGTGTCTTCTCTTTCTTGTTCTCTCCTCTTGCGTCTTCCCTGCTTCCTCACTCGTCTTTATTTCTGCTCCTGAACTGTCGGGCCTCTGTAATAAAGTGAGATGGTGAGTCAGCAAGGATCCCGATGGCCAGATAAATCTCAGTGTCTTGAGAGTGTGAAGAGAAAGCTATAAAGTATAAAACGCTGCAGAGCTGAAGCCCAGTCAGTCTTTTCCTGGTCATATAAATGACACTATATTCACATTCACAAGATGAAAGAGTTTTCCCATGCGTAAAAAAAGATATACAATGTGGCAAACTGCTTTTGAGTCATTTGTTTTAATAACTTCCTCTTGGGTTTTATTTCTGTTGTGATAAGATCTTATGATGTCACTGGATTTAAACTTCCTGGTGAGATTAGATTCATATCTCACTCTCTCCTATATGTGTTTTTGACATTTGGGATGCAATATCAGTGTGTGTGTCTCCTGTGGGAACTGAACACCCACTGTGCACCATCAGTATGATTGTTTCTTCACTGACACAGTGTCAACCAATACAAGACCAATGCCTGAAATGCCTCAATTGGACTCCGTTGTTTACTTCCACAAGATAGTGACATCTATATGTAGGACTCGCACTTCTATTGGCTAGCACTTCAACACATCGTACGTTTTAGGCTAAGGGGCGGGACATCTCTAAGCCGTTGACCAATCACAACAGAGCCAACCAGCTAACCAATCAGAGCAGACTGGGCTCTGGTTTCAGACAGAGGGAGAAAATAGCTTTTTGAACATAAAAGCATGGAAACATGTCGGGCACAAAATACAAATATGAAACAGAAAACGATCATATTGGGGCCCCTTTAAAGATGCATCATAATGTCTGCAGTCTTGCACTGGCTTCCATTGGATATCAAATTATTATATATTTGTATTCTAAGATGTAATATTACTACTAAATGTCCTTTTCACTTGTCTAAATTTGTCTGAAGAGACTTTATTTTCTTTACTAAACTGAAGACAAAAAGATGGATCGTTCCTGATCAAAACTCTGCTTTTATGCTATAGTTTAGCCGAGAGGTGTCATATGTCAGATAATATTAGCAACACCAGCTGCTCTCAGTTTCTGTGCTTGTCAGTCTTTGTGCAATCTTACAAATCTCTTCTGAAAACATAGTATATGACCTTTTTTCCATCATAATTCTCACCTGTGTGGATTATCTGTTGTTTTATCACCGATCTTCTGTCTTTAATCTCAAGAAGTCATTTTATATCTGTTCTTACATTGGATACTAATCAACCCACTAGTCTGTCTTACTGTGTTGTTGTTTCTAACCTTGTATTTGTTTGTCTCACAGGCACATGGACTCCATTCAACCCAGTGACGGTGCGCTCCATCATCTGTAAGTACTCGTTGTTCTTTGTTATTTATTTGCCTCCTCTCCATGACAACTAGATACATTCATTACCGTTTGAGTAATCTGGAGGCAGACACAAACTTATCTCTGGCTCCAGTTACTGCTGCTGTAGTGGAAACCTGCAGACATTAATAACGGGAGGAAAGAGCATCAGCAAGAACAGGGAAAGTTTGTCTCGAAATGGAGCAGCCAATTCCCTCTCACTCCAAATATCGATCTGTGTGCAGTCCTAAAACAGTTGTCATGTGCTGACTGTGCCTCAACACATCTCAATAGGCTATGTTTTGAATGTAGAGGATGTCGTTTTTTTACATTCAAATCCTGGCTAATTTTCTGCTATTGCTTTTAAAATATTTTAAAGGGGACCTATCATGCAAAATGCACTTTTTGATGTCGGAAATGTAGGCTGGCTTTACACCCACGGCCCCATCAGAAACTTTGCTATCAGAAACAATGCCCGACTGTTTTGGACGTAATATGGTCGGTGTTTACATTAGCATCGCTAACACTCAGAGCTAACCTGTACTGGAGAGCATGTGTGTGAAGAAGCAGGAAATAAAAAGGAACTCACCTTGTGGTATAACCGGCAAGAGAGAAAGCCTTTGAGCTCCATACTGTTTCAGAAATAATCCTTGATAATCCATGATATGGCGTTTCATCACGGCAGTATTTAGTTTAGACAGTAGCTGCCGGGTCCCGCATGAGCTCAGCCCCCTCCTTTTTTTAAGCTTTATACCCCAAATCAGCACTTTTGAAACAGGAAGTGAAATAGAGGGATATGAGGCATGGCTAGAATGGGTGATCTGTTTAGTATTTTGAGCAAAACACTTCATAGACATGTTTTTTATATATTTTTATATATCTGAGACCTATGCTATTGCCTAAAAATAGCATGATCTCTCCCCGGGTCTTATATGCACTGTTCCCTTTTTGTTGTGTGACTTGCAGAGTAAATTCCTCTAATCCCATCGCCTCCCCTTCCTACTCTTCCATACTCAGTAAAGCCATTGTTTAATAGTCCCCCAGCAAGGAGCATACCCCGTGATAACACTCCCTTTGTTGGGAGGTAATTGGATTGAACCACATGAGGGTAAGGAGTAAAGTACTGGTGGAGGCGATGGAGCAGTTTTCTCTGTTCTAAAGTAGTTTTATGAGGCAGGAGTAAGTGAAGTGTGAGACCCACAGATTACACTTTTCAGCTCTGTGACAGCTCTTTAAAACTATATGTGGTGCTATTTCTGCTTTCTGGTCACACAATCTGCCCTAACTGCACTTTGCTGTGTATTGTTATAAGAGACAGAGAGTGAATAATGTCTTATTCTCTCCCACAGCCATGTTCGACAGGGAAAATAAAGGCGGGGTGAGCTTCAACGAGTTTGCCGGCGTGTGGAAGTACATCACAGACTGGCAGAACATCTTCAGGAACTACGACAGGGACAACTCGGGCTTCATCGATAAGACCGAGCTCAAGCAGGCGCTCTCTGGATTTGGTGAGACACAAAGTATGCTGGGATATTTACTTGGGGGTGAATGTGGTGAAGAGCTCTGAAGCTGTCTCTCTAGGAGTGTCTTTCCTCGGGGTCAAAAGGTCAGATTCGGTCTTTTCAGTAGCTCTGTGTAAGTTTGAGTGAACCAGCATGCCGTTGGAAACGTTTATTAAAGAAATGGTGTGGAATTTCGCTCATGTAGTTTTACGACACAGACGAGCAGTTCCAGCTTGCTATTTACAATGCAGAACAAACTGTTGGGGACAAATCCAAATGTGTGATTGAGTGCAAAAACAATCATGTTTAAGACAACTTATTCAACAGAAATGTGTCATTTATTTTTGATTTCCCATGATCTATATTTGTCTTTGTGTTGTCCAGGCTTTTGTTTATCTTCAGTAAATACAAGTCAGCCAAAATCAATACGTTGCTGAATATACATTTCAGTTACAGCGAGGGTAACTGCTCAGTAATAAGAATGTATCATATTAATGGTGGCTATTACAGAGGGGCCTCGGGTGTTTGGAGCAGGAGCTTGGGACTGTGTGGGTGTTTAAAATGCAGACTTAAATGAGTTCCAATCTATATGCAGTTCATTGTTAATGTCTTGTTTTCTTGTGTGCAGGTTATCGTCTATCAGAACAGTTCTACTGCACGCTGATAGAGAAGTTTGACCGCCAGAGGAAGGGACAGGTTGCCTTCGATGACTTCATCCAGTGCTGCATCGTACTACAGGTAACACATTAAATACATATCACTCTTTATTACATGACTTATTAATTTATTCTCTCCACACATATGCATAAGTATAGGCTGTCTGTCGGTGTACTACCTGCAACACAATGAGGTGATTCAAAGGATTCAAAAGGGAGCTTTAATTATGCATACTTAAGAAACACATTACAGTCCTCCCTTTTAGATTATAAATCTCCCGTTGAAGTTCCTCTTGATCCTTTATGTTCCGTTTCAGTGATTTCACACAAATAGAGTAGTAATGGAAGCTGCCAAGCATAACTATAACCTTTCATTAATGCAGAAGTTTCCCTTTCACCAGGATATAAAGTATCACCTGAGGTTTCATAATAGCTCTAGAGGTGTCAACCATTCACTTTTTCGGCTCTCTACTCAGACCTAGATTTCAATGGATATCCTTGAGTTAAAATATCTGCCTCTCCAGAAGTAAAGAGTAAAACCCTAAAACACTTCATATTTAGTCACCCAGTATTGAATCTATGTTAACTATAGTAGGAAATTAATGAAATGTGATAATGATACTGATAATGATTTTACGATGTAATATGAAACTTTATGCATTGGAGACTTTGGGGAGGAATTGAGATACAAACGATAATTTAAACTCACTATTTCCCCCCTTCTTTCCGCAGAGGTTGACCGACGTGTTCAGGCGATACGATACAGACCAGGATGGCTGGATCCAGGTTTCATATGAACAGTATCTTTCCATGGTCTTCAACATTGTATAACGCACACGGATCGCCACAAAAGAGCACAACTGGACACAACTGTGCCAAAGCTACCCGGCAACTCCCAGATCTTTGTCTACGGTGGAAACTACAAGATTCTTTTAAACAAAATTTGAAGCCCTAGTTACAGGTTAATTTCATACAAAACGTTATGAAATGAATACAGAAAAGCTTAAAGCAGCCTTCAGTTCTTTTATGGTTGCAATACTCCCAGTGTTTGGAGGTATGTCTACAATTCTTAATTTATTAAAAAAATCTTGTAGTGTTTTATTTGATGACGTATCGGATCTACATCTGCGTTGGGGAACATTATGGACTCTTTCTGTCTGTCAGTCTGTCTGTAATTGTCGGAATACTTTTTATCGTCTTAACTTTAATTGATTCAATTAAAAAAAAAAAATCTGTTGACAGGAAAATAATGCATTGTAAATATGATTTAAGATGCATTGCATGCTTTTCAGGGAAATTTATCCCCACGTTGAAGCATGCTTTCCCTTTCTCTTGTCTTTTCCTCAGCCCTATTTTGCTCCAAGCCATGTTTACAAAAACAGTGAAAGCAGTTGAGTTCTGCCTCGAGATTCACTGACATGCCAGCTTACATGCCATATTTGTACAAACTTATTTTTAACTGCAAAATCTTAAACTGTTAGGACATATCATTTTTGGTAGAGGGTAAGCATAATGCCTTTACTTTAGCTTACTTTGTTTGTGCATGATGCCTTAAAATGTGTAAAAATAACACAAAAGATAAATCTTTTATTAAAAAAATGAAAGAAAAGTGATTATGAGTTTGTATTCATCATTTATATGACCACGGAGCTGCGTAGCATTGCAGCGGTAACTGCAAAGTGGCTCAATGTCGCCATCTGCTGGACGTTTGGCGTGTGTACCACCGCAATGCACCAACACGGAACCTTTGTTTCCTTGTTGTTGTGGGGAGTAAAACACTGTTACACCCGTATTTTAGAGTTGTGTTGAAAGTTAGCATACGGCGTTTGAATAACAAGTAATGCAAGTGCCAGTAATTGTTGTCAGCCAATGCGTTTAACGTGTTTATGTATTAAGCTAGAGCTTCTAGTGTTTCATGAGTGAGTTAGCAAATGGCGCTAAAACATTTTTTGACGTTGACACCAATGTTAACTGCTTCTTTTCGCAGTAAAACATTTGGACAGGCGATAAAAACGAGTTTGTTTCCAGTTAAGTCCTACAGCAGTGCAACGGGAGGTGAACACTCAGAAACAGGTATGTGTGGAAACATGCAGTTACTCAACAATGTCAATGGGAGGCACCAGAGCCTGCAATAATATCAGTATAGATATTAGCACACTCAATTTCAACTACAGGTCTTTAAAGCAATATGTTATCTAAAACTACACAATTTAGAGCTTACTTATGGTATAATGTCCACACTTGTATAGTTAAACAGAGAGGCTTACATTTCCACTCCCCTGAACGCAACCTTAAAATGATAGATACTGAGGAACAAGCTCAGGTGTAATTAATTTACTTAATGAGGTCGTTAGTCCCACCTGTGGTTTTTCTGCCATTTTAAAACAATGGTTGCTTTCCTAACAAAGGTAGGTGTTATTGTTGTATATTGTATGATACATTTAATGTAGTATTAGTGTTTCATATATGTTATGTATCTACATTATTTATTATAATTGTTAGTTTTTTGTTTTTGGAGGAAGTGAAATATTGTGACATGTTGAATTGTTGAATGTAGTATATTCAAGCCCCCACTCATCAAGAACAATTGTTCAATAAATCAATATAGGGAAAGCAGTTTATTCGAATTTTTTTTTTTTTAAAAGGCGAAACCAAATAATTATTGTCTTTCTTTTGCTTCTATGAATGCCTTAACTACATTTTCAAAATAGTTGAGAACACGTTTTAAATTGACGAAATAGTTCGGTGCTAATTTTGCTAATAAGTTACATTGTTTTTTTCTTTAAACAATTATTCGACTAACATGTTATCTGCTCTGCCCTCCAATGCATGTTGCTTAAACTTGGTGCTAAAGTATAACTGTAATGTTAAAAAAGCAAAACGACCCTACACACAGGTAGTAAACATGGTTCCACTGCTTTGCACACAATACACTGTGATAATTAGTTCGAGGTGTAGCAGAGTAGAAAGGCCTGCCTGAGACAAATTGCCTTTTCCCTCTCCATCACTTCACTGGCTTTTGTTTAGCGGTCCATTCTTCTAGAATAGCAGTGTGAGCGAGGTTAATGCGTTTTGTAGCTTTGTTCCTTTGGTTGACAGTTAGATTCCCTCGGAGGAGCCTAAACAATGTCAGGTCAAATGCCTGCTGCAACCTCAAGCCACAGCCACTGGCAAACTCACACACACACTTACAGTATAAACACACACTGAGACAGAGCGAGAGCCAAGGTCTTCACATCAATCCAGACCATCTCTTCTCATTGTTTCACTGCCTGTCAGAGATATCTGTCCACATAAACCAATTTACATTCCATCTGCATGCCTCCTACAGTGGACGTTAAACCTTTTATGTCTCTGGGTCTGAGTGTTGTGGTCCATGTTGGTCTGTGTCTCTGCATCTTTCTCATTCTTTGTCATCAGTTGCGGGACAGACCGTGGTCACAGAGCGCAGAGGGGCTGTGGTTTCCGTGGCAATAAACCGTCCCGAGGTGCGTAATGCGGTGAACCAGGAGACGGCGAGGCGTCTGCTGGAGGAGCTGGAGGCCTTCGACCGGGACCCAGACTTAAACGTGGCTGTCCTGCATGGGAAAGGTAAGATATTGTAAGAAAGGAAGGATGAAACAGTTGCAGTTTCTTACTCGGAGGTACTTGACTTCACAGATAACTTACAGACATGCTACAGAGGGGTTCATCTTGTTGATCTTCAAGGGTTTCTTATCCCTTCCTGTATTTATTTGAACCTAATTCTTTAAGATTTCAGATCCACAAATGGTCAGAGGTTTTCGGTATATCATGACACTCGAGAGCCTTACACCTGCAAGTAATAGTTTTGGTAAAATATGCTTATTTCCTTAAATGCAAAGCGTTTGACGAGATGATCGAACACCTTGTTAAGTCCACATTTCAAACTACTGCCAGCAACGAGTTAGCTTACCTTAGCAGAAGGACTGGAATCATTGTAAAATAACAGCTTCTTGCCAGCTAGCAGAACGTCTAAACCTCACTGCTTCTTATATCTCGTTTGTTCTAAAAACAAGTTGTGGTTTAATGGAGTATTACATGCCGGACAGTATTTCTTGGGCAGGAGCAGTCACTTCCTGGAGTCTCCGCTGATTGTTTGGCAACATTGCAGTGATGACAATCCTCATACTTTAGCCTCACATTGACCGTGTGGTATTGATCTAATCACATGGGGCAAGGAAAGTGAAAAAGCATATTTTCTAAAACTATGTCTAAAGAGAAAATTAGGGAACGGAAGTTATTGTTTTTTACATTAGAGAATTTGTTTTTGCCAAAATGTATTTCACCTAACTTCCTGGTTTTATAAGTGAAGGAAACCAGACTTTTAACCCCTTTTTAGAATATTCTTTTTGTCAAGTCAAACTTTATTATCAAACCAGCGGAAATGTTGTTGCAGCCCGGTATACTAGCACATCCATGGGCCAAAAATACTTTCAAACCAGAGGGGGAGAACATTGTGGCTCATGTTCTGACGCAGTTATGGAAAGTCACAGGATTGTCACTGAAGCTTCTCAGCTCTTCATCTCTTCCTCTCCTCAGCCTTCAAACCTTCCCTGCGTCACATTCTTCCTCTGCGTCTTTTTTTCCAGCCTTTTCTCCTTGAAGTCCTTAGATCTAACCGAAGTGCCGAAGTGACCAAACAGAGTGCACACACACAAAAAACACACACACCTGCGAGGTGGCCTGCACTGTGTCAGCCGCCCAGAGCCAGTATCATGCCAGGGCTCCTAATACCTCTCAAAATAATCATCACACACACTGAATGACCTCCTTCCCCCAGTGGAAATAATGTCTTCAACCTGGATCAACCTGCTGTATGAAGTGCACCGTGGTCTACAGAGACAAGTATATACTTTGTTTGGTACTTCAGAGGTTGGAGCCTCTCCAGATGACGGCTGCAGGGTGCCACTAGTCTCAGCTGTGAACAGAAAACAGTGTGGGGGTTGGAGAGTAATTAGCTCGTGTTAAATGGGTTAGCAATGAGCTGCACATTAGGTCTCTCCAGCTAAAAGGGCTCTTCTGTGATTCCCACTATGTCTGTAATGTGCTTTTAATCGTCTCCCCACACATTCCTGTCAGCAGGTTGTCCTGTGTTGCAGCTCCACTATAACCAGGAGACTGACCTTCAGAGGTGATTAGCCGTCTGTCTGTGCTATAAGATGACAAGCAGGGAGGTTCTATTTTGGCTATACCCTCTGAAAACATAAGGGATCCATTTTGTTCAAATTAGCGCCAACACAATCACACTCTCGGCTCTCGTTTTTCAGTGTCGATATGTTTTTTTTAACCCGTGAAATTAAGAGTAATTGCTTTCTGCAGGTTTTTCTGAATATGCTGGCACATATTTGGAGTGTTTGGGATTTGGATTTCAGTAGGCGTTAGTGGTCAGGTACGATCAGAAGTCAAGCTAGCTGCGTCACTACGGCACATGTTCATCTGAAGTGAGAGGAAGCCAATATTGTGTTGTCTGTAAAGCATCACTAGTCTCATAAAACACATTGAATCTAACATCTTTTAGAGGTCAAAGAAATGAAAAACCGCAACATGCATGTAGTTGTATTGGACGTCCATTTGAGAAATACAATCAAATCTCTTAGTATTAGAGAACAGGACATTTGAAAATTGAAATGAAAACATTTATATATTTAATATTTGCATACTATTATCTAAATAACCACTTCAATGCAGGCTTTTTACTTTTAACAGGTGTTTTTAACAGTTACAATGATCCGTTCTATTCAACATTTAGAGCCTGAAACTGAAGCGGCTTAATATAATTCAGCTATCACTCATTTCAAGTAACTACTTTTATTTGGAAATGTGTGTGTCATGCTTTTTTAAAATATATTTTGGATAAAACAATCTTGAACCCATATAACAACAGCCTCGTTTCACAATCATTGCCCATATATCTCTGTTTGGCCCCTCAGTTCATTCACAAACCTCCTTCAAAGTGTAAATGATGCTTTAAGATCTTCCATGGAGCTCTTCACAGCTCCTGCTCTTTCTTTCTCTCGATCAAGGTTTATGGAGCCGTGTCACATCGCTGCTCCCATAAACAGCTTGACGCACAGTTTTTCTATAATTGCCCTGTGTTGACCCACAGCTGTAATCAAAGCTCCCAGTCGATGGGTGTCGCTGGCACATGTGTTCGTTATAATCATTTTCATTACTGCAACATTACGGAGATTGTACGAGTCTGCCTGAGACTGTGACATAGTGTTTGTAGGCCTCATGGGTAATGTTGTAATTACCACATGAGTCCAACGGAAGAGGCTGTGGTCGGAGTATGTTAGTCTTCCATTAATGAGGATATTGTGTATGTGCACATGTGTTAGAGCACATGCGTGATTTGTGACTATGCATTGGATTTGGCCTCTTTAGGGAAGAGAAGCTTTTGTGTGCCAGCCTGCCAAAAGCAAGCAGCTATCCAAATTGCAGCCCGCGGACTCCAGCTCAACTTGTTGTTTTTTTTCATCCTCATCATTTTCCCTTCCTCTCTGACTTTCCATCTGCCATACTTTGTAATTTTGTGGTCTCCTCCAGGAGGGAATTTCTGCGCTGGTTATGATCTGAAAGAGCTGGCCAAT